CTTGCTGGGAGCTGTGCGGAGCCAGGTAGGGAGCCTGCCAGCCCTGCGCCAACTGGACTGTCAACAGCTAGGTCAGCAGTGCTGACTGGAGCCACCTGGGTCCCTTTTCGACTGGGCTTTCTCGTCGAGTGAGTGTGGGGGGAGGCATAAATTAGGTAGAAAGCAGAAGTAGGGAATTAAGAGCGTGAGTGATTTGTGGGGAGATTCAGAGACTGGAAATATAGGGGAGGCGGCAGACAATACAAAGGAGAGAGCGGGGGGAAAGTCAGGGATACAAGGCAGTCTGGAAATTAAGTAAAAAGCTGATTGCCCTGTTACAATTTGCTAACAGAAGGGCTGGACTGTGCAACTCTTATGGACCGTGGAAAGCACTTACCCATGTTATTCCCATTCAAGTCAAGGGGATTACTTCTGTTATTGCTCAGCAGTGTAATAGTTGCACAGTATAGCTCAAAATGTACTCCTATGGCCAGTTTCTGCCATGCTGAGTCACGAGTCATCTTTTTCTTACTCTGTGACAGGGCCCATTGAAATCAGCGAAACTCTTATGACCAGTTGGGTCAAATCAGCCTGACAGTAAATGGGAGCGCCCACTGAAGTCAATGGAAGTCGTACCTGCTTACTACAGGGCTGAAATCAGTGGGATTCCTTGCAGAGTAAGGTACTGTTTGGCGTAAGAGTGTCAGAATTGGGCCGATAATAATCTTTGACACCCATGTACCTTTAATTGTGGAGATGAAAAACCAATACATGGCAATTGAGCATGTCTGCCTTTTTACATTATGTATTTGGCAGCACTCTGTGCTTATCCTAACAGATTAGTAAAGGCCAATAATTTTTTTTAATATGACTTCAGATCTATTAAAAATCTCTCTGTAGCTATATATAATCAGTGTACATATTATTCTGACATAAACATTGGCAGCCATGGTGTTAGAATGTCTCCTTGGTTCCGTAGAACATCCAGAGATGACATGAGAAGAGAGTTAACTAGGAAGCTAGAGATGTGATTCCAAATAGCTGTCTTGTGCTTTGCAGCTGACAGCTGGGTTCAGGTTAGGGGTGTCCCTGATGGGGTGAGTGGCTTTAATTGAGGAAAAGTGGTGTGGGGTGGAGAACCTTGAGCAATGGAGACCATTTCTGGGAGGGAAGTTGAAGCCTCTGGTTGTGGCCATCCTCCTTGAGACCACAAAGAGAATAGCAGTATCCAGAGCAAAGCTGTGAAAGGAACCTTATTCTTATATTTTTACTTTCTTTAAACAAAGGAAATTAAAACACCCCTCTAAAAAAAGTTAAATTATGAAGTAGCTGTCTAAAAAACCAGGATCTCAAATTCTCCACTTTACTCTGGATTTACATCAGGGCAGCACATTTTAAAACTGTGCCAAGAGACTACAGAAAGGCCAGTAATAGTGTGAGAGTTTAGTTTTAATTTTTTTGTTGACACTTTGCAGCGGAAAGAAAGTACACCTCTACCTCGATATAACGCTGTCCTCGGGAGCCAAAAAATCTTACCACGTTATAGGTGAAACCGCGTTATATCGAACTTGCTTTGATCCACCGGAGTGCGCAGCCCCGCCCCCCCAGAGCACTGCTTTACTGAGTTATATCTGAATTCGTGTTATAGCGGGGAGCGTTATATCAGGGTAGAGGTGTATCAGTGTGACTATTAGCAGCGGCCTAGTGAAAATATTGTTCATGTATATGTAAGGGTAAATATTAGTGTGAAATATGTGCAGTGTGGGTCTAAGAAGTACGATACGCATCTAGAAAAACAGATTGGATTTCTCTAAGTTGCAAAGGACTTCAGAAGCCTGAAATGCCCAGAGTAGATGATAGTGCAGTGAATTTCAGCTGTCAACTTTCCCCCGCCCCCTACATTTTTGTGAATTTAGTTCTTGTGAAAGGTACTGGGTTACTTGCTCTGGAGCAGTGAAGTGCTCTTCTTAGGGCTTGTCTACACTGGCTATTTACAGTGCTGCAAATTTCTTGCTCAGGGGTGTGAAAAAACACCCCCCCTGAGCGCAGCAAGTTTCAGCGCTGTAAAGCACCAGTGTAGACAGTGCAGCAGCACTGAGAGCCACGCTCCAGCACTGGTAGCTACACCCCTTGTGGAGGTGCGCCGCGACAACACAAGCCACGTTAAAGTGCTGCCACGGCAGCGCTTTAGCGTTGCCAGTGTAGACTAACCCTTAGTCATGCTGATGCTGCAGCAGTGCAGATTTCCCCTGGCCTATCCCTTTTTATTGTACCTCAACCCTGATATGATGGCAATACCTTTATGGGCTAAAGGGTAGTTTGGCCTCCATGGCCAGGAAAGTTTCAGCACTGAGGCTACCAATCACTATGCCTGTTATGATGACTTCGTGATTTTGGTCCCAGTCTGAGAAGCTTTAACAGAGACCATCTGCTCATCGTACAGTAACAGCTTTTGGTCACTGCTGACCAGGGCTGCTTTGAACGTGCAGTGGAGAGGTATAGTAAAAGTCTGTGTATCCTGTTTTTCTATAGCATTGTACCATCTGGTCCCTATAACTCTCTGAATTTTGGGGGGTTTTGTTGTCAAACTTTTAGCGTTATGCATTGAAAATATCAATGCTGCCAGCCCCAAACATTCAAATTATCAGTCAATTGACTTAAAAACAAAACAAATTGTAAAACTAATAAATGTGTGGTTCGCTTTATTTGCTTTTTGAACCTTTTGAGTTCACATTTTCAAGTCCTTATCTCTGCAGCCATAAGGGATATCGATTTACTTTTGTTTTAGAGATGAAAGCTGAGACTCCTCAAGCTGAGGCTTTAAGGATCACAGAATCATAGACGATTAGGGTTGGAAGAGACCTCAGGAGATCATCTATTCCAACCCTCTGCTCAAAGCAGGACCAACCCCAACTAAACCATCCGAGCCAGGGCTTTGTCAAACCGGGCCTGAGCAGACATCCTAAGACTCACAATAAGAGCACCAGGGTTTGCAGCACTGAAATATTTTTCTAGGAGTATGTTTGGACTTCAATTAACTTGGAGTACGAGACCTCCTAATGTGTTCATGAAATCAAAATGTCACCATGTAGATGGCAGTGGGAAAGATGGCCTCTATCACAGAGCTTAGCAACTCTGGCCTTTTGTAGAAGAGGTCTTAATGCTTATCTGCAGTCTTTAGGAAAGAGCAAGTGACTGTCTAATTATGATTGTGGATCGGAAACATGTATTACACAAGAAAAACATAGGGATGCCTACCAAGGTGCTCAAAAATTGCAGACGGGGTTAGGAGATAGATTTTTCCGTTGGTGAATCTGGGCTGAGAGTGAAAATGCTCCCAAAGCACTTGATCAAATGTAATAAGCCTTAGCAGTGACCAGACCTATTGCTGAATAAAAATCATTCTCATATGGGTGTAGTCTGTCTGACATTCAGTGCAACAGAACTTGATAAGGCTTCCAAAATAATTTGTTTAAAGGGTTCCTGCTTTATACTTTCCTGGTTTGTCATCTCAATATGCAAATTGAACCTTTATTAAAAGCCAAGCTTTATGTAACAGGAGTAATATGTCTTTGCAGTTGTTGATTTATTAGTCAAAAAACTGTGTGCATACTGTAATTTAATTACATGGCTTTTGAAACTATAAGATACTGGCTGTGGTCAGCCAATACACAATAATTAATATAGCTCAACAATAATACTTTTATGACCTTAAGGTGAAAGGTGCTAGACATGCAAAGTCATTCTTTTTCTACATTATCGTTGATCTTAGCATTACAGTGTCCTTAAATACCTATCACCCGGCTGCTAGATACTATGGTGATGGATTCATTAGAAACTGCTAAATCCATATCCTAGTTAATACAGGTTTCTAAGTTGTTGATCCATAAGGGGAGTTCACTACTGCCTATTTGATAAACCTCCAAGAGCGAAGGTTTATTTTCATTCTGTCAGGAAAAACATGATGTGCTCTCTTTTTTTCAGAAAGAATCTAATGCTCCTAGATTCATGGACTTCAACAGACACAGTGATAACCTTCATCGTCTCAAGAGACATCTACAAACCCATTGTAAACTAGCCCTTAAGGTTTGTGTGATCACTGTGTCCAGTGTTTAGACTAGATGTATAAACAGCATATGGTGTTCAGGAAATAAAGTAAATACTATGAAATGATTTAGTCTATTGAGTTCAGCTGGAGAATCTGTGAGCTACTTTAATTTTAAGTTTTGGGACACGAATACTTTGACACATTCTTCACTTGCCTCCATACTGCTTGCATTGCCATACAGTACAGCTTGATTTTACATTTACCAGGCTAGTATGCTGGGCCTTGAAGACGAGCCTTAATAGACTGAACACATGAAAATCCTGCTCCAGTTTAAAATATCAAATTGTAGCAGTATGTGGCAATTCTCCAGCAGTATGACGCTTCATTCTAAGTCTCCATTGCAAGGCAGTACTCAGACACCTGCGCTCTGGGCAGAAACCATAAGGTTTGTGCGGTGGCTGCTTTACTACTGGACAATAGTTTTCTTAACTCAAAAAGAGCGATGCTGTGAAGATGCTGGCAGCAGTTGGCAGGCCTGGAAGTGGCTCATAGAGGGGCAGGTCAATCTTTTTTCTCCTCCTTTTCTTGTAGGAAGAGGCAGTATATAGCTTTCAATCTATTATTATCCTTCACCTCTCCCTAGGACCCCAAAATTGTTTGGAGGGATGGGAACTAATCTCGGTGAAGCTAAACGTATAGGAAAAAAAACCCAGCATGGTATTTCTGTAACTCCCACACTGAGGGGATGTTATTTCCACAGCTTGGATGTGAGGTTCAGCAGGGGCAAGGGAAAGTCTCCCCATAAGATGTTACTGTGCTATATGCCCATAAGGCCCCTTTAAAAGGGCTCATTCCTGGGTGGGGCTGAGAGACCACAATTCTCCTCGGAGTCAATGGGAGTGGTAGATGCCACTCCCATCTCAACCTCAGACCCAGAGCTGGCACCTATCTGAGAATGGAAGTGGGTGCACTGGTGTTTGCCAGCTCAGCTTTTCATCTTGTTTTTTAAATTAACCATAAATTAAACAGGTTTTTCAAATTCCTTGACCCGTTGTTCTGATAATGGCCAATGTTTAAAATGGGCCAGGAAGAGCAAATGGCTACTGTCAGCTGTGGGGACATTGGAGCACATGGCACTGCCTCAAAAGGAAAAGAAAAGCCAATGCAACAATACAGAAACAAAACTTCCAGTTTTTATTAAAATAAAACAACCTTTTATGTCTTTCAGTCCATTCCTTTGAGGAATGGCTTACTACAGTCATCTACTAGTGTAGGGTTATTCTCGTCTCCATTGGGGAAAAAAACCCCATCTGTAATATAAGAGTATTTGTTCATTTCCTGACAGCAGGGGTGGAACAGAAAAGGGCAGTGTAATGTTCCTACATCAGTAAAGAATGAGGTGGCCATCAATGTTGTTTTTCTTAAATGATATCCAGTATTAGGAATATGTCCAGATGTACGCTACACGCTGAACTGAACCAGGTACACAGCGAAGGAGGAGCAGCATGAGGCAGAGAGCTCACAGATGCTCATGATATGAAAACTTTGATTCAGTAAACAAAAAATGGTTGAGTTTTTGTGGCACAGACTTTTTGTTTAAATGTAGTAATCTTTTGGAATGAAAACTAGGGGGAAGGGAGGGATGGACAGTTGTAACCTGGGTCTGAAAAGATCATCTCTTCCCAAGATTATTCCCTAACATGTGGGACAGCTGCTGCTTTGGGGCTTGATCCCCAAAGTCCATGGAAAGTCTCCCATTGACTTAACGGGTTTGGATCAAGCCCTTTGTTTAGAGCTGCAGTCTTCAAAGTACCACTGCAGAAAACTATGTAGACATGAGTCTCTGCAACTATTCCCAACCCATAAGGCTACCCCTACTGGGCAGGTGCTTTTAATTTTTGCTTAAAGGTTAAACAGTCTTTAAAACACAGGAAGGAGGAGGCTAACAGAAGAACACATTTTGGGTTTTTTTTTAAGCTATATGCAAATGTGAGCAAAGGAAAACAAGTTGATGTTCAGTTTCATTAACAAGGTTATCCATGTATATTTCTGTCATCAGGGCTAAAGTGCAAAGCCTACTATTTTAGATATGCATCTTTACTAAATAATGCAGAAAGAGCAAGAGCACAAGTCAGTCCTGTCAGCAGGAAGCCCAGATTATGGTTCCCAATTTAATAAATAAATAAATAATCGCTATTTATTAAAAGACCAGGGAATAGGGATAAATTTGTCCGTCTGCTGGGCCAGGCAGGCCTCTCTCCCCCATCTTTCAACTTTCCCCTTTACATTTGAAGATATACACCCCATGGGGGTGCCACGTAGATTGAATCCATTGTGCATAGGGAATAAGGGCTTGGGGACATTCTCAGCACAGAGTAGGGCCACCAGGAAGCTTATGTACAGTAAATGGCACCCTTATTTCCCCCAGCAATGGGCCCTTAGGATGAATTCTCTCTCCAAATTTATTTTTTCTTGTTAGCGGACACAGTGGAAACCTGGCTTAAGCACCTGCTCCTTGGGGGCTGCCCAAAATCAGTTGCTTAACGAAAGCAGCCTTCTACAAAAGAGGGAGCAGAATGGTACTCCACGTTGTTTTTAGAGACACTAAAAGTTACTCAAGAAGGACAGTCTCTTGTACAGATCTCACTGTATACCCTGATTTATGTTCGTTCCATAGGGTTTTGTTTCAGATCTGGAACTCTCTCATTTGCTAGTTCAGTGCTGCTGGCTAAGTCTTTTAGTTGTTTGCGGTCAACACCTCCTCTTGTCTTCCTGGGTCACTGCTGGCTGATGCCACGCACCTGCTGCGTCTAGTGGGGAGGAGGTACCCAATCCCTGAGAACTGTCACCATTTGGGGATCTGGTGGTTTCCTCTAGCTGGTGCAACTGTCTGCTTGCATCTCGCTGCTGCTGTTCCTTTAGCTCTGTGTAGGAGCGGGAAAAAGTGTGAAAGATAGAAGTGACCGGAAAAGCCATCAGCAAAATACCACTCAAGATACTGCTCAGGGCTACTACCTGTCCCGGGATGCTCCGAGGTACCATGTCTCCATAGCCTACAGTTGTCATGGAGATTACAGCCCACCAATAGCTGGTGGGAACGCTAGTGAATTCTTGCTTGGCTCCCAGTTCGCTCTCTGCCAAAAAAACCAGTGGAGAAAAGAGCGCCATGGCAACACAAAGGAAGAGGAGGAGGAGTCCAAATTCCCTGGTGCAGCGGCGCACAGTGAGTCCAAGTGTCTGCAGTCCCAGTGAATGGCGTGCCAGCCTCATGACATACAGGATGCGGAGAGCCCGCAAGAAGCGTAGAACTAGGCCCACTCGCTCCAAGTACTTGTTTCCTGCTCCACTGCCAGGCTTCCTGTTGCTGTTTTTGGCGGAGACCATATCCACTATCAGAGAGATGTAGAAAGGCAAGATGGCTAAGATGTCGATGATGTTGAGGGGGGTCTTCAGGAAGGCGCACTTGCTTTCTGCCTGAATGGAGCGCAGGAGGAACTCAAAGGAAAACCAAGCAACGCAAACGGTCTCCAACACAAAGATGTCGTAGCACTTCTGAGAACATTCACCCTAACAGGAGGGGGAGAAAACAGAAAAGAATAAAAGACAAGGGATTTAGCCAAAGGACCAACAAATAAAAGTTTAATAGTGCTTCTTAAAGACACCCTCCAGTGTAGTTTAAAACTTATCCAAATCACTGGTAACAAAGAGAAAATAAATCACAGAAAACATTTAGAATGGGTAATTGAAAACCAGAATAACTGACGTCAAGACAGAACACTGATGGCTTGACAGGCTGCCAATGAAGACCGAGGGCAGGTCTACATTAGAAACTTGCATTGGTGCACCGCTGTCGCCCTTCTGGTGAAGGCACTCCAAGCCAGTGGGAGACATCGCAAGGGAAAAGCTAATGGCTGCACCTTTTAATAGCAAGCTGCAACATAACCCTAACTAACACTCATGGGCAGCGGGTGGAGCCCCCCTTCAAGGAGGCTAGCCTCAGCTCCCCCCCCCCTTTACTCCCCCCCCCCCCCCGTGGCCGGAGGAGCTCCCAGCCAGCCGAAGTCCCGAGACCCCCTGCCCAGAGTCCCAGGCCAACTGCAGCTGCGCCGCGCCTCCCCTCCCCGGACCCCAGGTCACCCGGACAAAAGCGTGCGTCTCTCAGACGCTCCTCCGGAAGCAGCTTTGCTATGCCCCATGCAGGCCCCGGGGCGGCTGAAGAGGCAGTATATGCTACTCAGCTTCCTGGGTTCATCAGTAATCTCCCTGGAGTCCAGGGGCTGAAGCTGAATAGTACATACTGCCTCCTCAGCCACCCTGGAACCTGCATGGGGCATAATAAATCAAAAACTTCCCCCCAAAACCCTGCAACCAGGGGGCCAGCGGCCGCGGCCGTGCCAGGGGAGGCTGAGCCTCCTATGACCTATTATACCCACCGCCCATGCCAACACTCTTATAGATAGATCTACCCTGTCCCTAAGTGAGCACTCTCCCTTACACTTCTAGTCCGGGGCCCACTCTTGCAGCAGTGTGTTGGGCAAGCAGGATTTCAGGTAGTGGCAGATTAGCCACTGGCCTGATGGGGCCCATGCGCAGGGGCCCCAGCCAATTGGGGAACCCTGGAAAAAAATCCACTGCCAGGTAGCAGAAGCCCAGAGGTCCGTAAGAAGCGCTGGGCAGGCAGGGCAAGCCCCAGCGCCCTGACCCCTCCCCAGCAGAAGTGCCAGGTGGATGGGGCAGGGGAAGCCCCTGCGCCCGACCCCAGCTGTGACCCCGGGACTGGAGGAGATCTTGCTCCATGCATGGCCTCAGGGCTGGGGGAGCTTTCACTCCTCGCTGCGGTCCTGGGGCCGTGGCGGGGGGGACAGAGCTTCTCTAGTCTTGTGGGGGGCACTGGATGTGGATTCAGGAGATGAGAGTTCAATGCCTGGCTCTGGCACAGAGTTCACGTGCAAGTCACTTGGAGCTAGATCCTCACAGCTATTTAGGCACCTAACGCCTCTTGATTTGGGCCTAAGTCCCCCCCCCCTGTAAAATCAAGGTAATAATATCTCACAGCTTTTGTCTATTTAGTTTGTAAATTCGAGGTGGCAGGGCCCAGCTCTTACTACTGACCAAAAGAGCTTGGCACACTGGGTATTCGACGCTTTTGACAATCTGACTGCACATTGTACAGCATCTAGAACAACCAGGTTGCTGGCATAATACAAATAAGTAGTAATGACAAATGGATGTGTCAAATATCATTAAGTCTGACGAAGATTAAAAACAATGCAACAAATGTTCCATTGGTCTGTTCCTGATCAGTCGGGGTGTGTGTGTGTGTGTGTGTGTACACGCATAACTCTCCTTACTTGATAAGATTTGGCTGTCATTTGTTAGAATAGGCATCTTTTTAAGTAAGAGTCCAGTTCAATTGCATTTGGGTTCCAGTTCCAAATACTACTTTAATCCTGTTCAGTGAGTTTAGGCCACCTTATTTTCTACATCTGAGCAGCAGCACAAGAGCCAGTAACACAAAGGTTGGAAACAACAATGAAGAATCTTTTTAATCCATCCTTCTGTATGCCTCAGTAAATGCTGGGTCCTGAGCAGCAGTGAAGAGAACTGAGCTCTGTTTCACTGCAGTACGCCCTGAAGTATGAGGATTGATAGCCCTTGTAATTGTCATCCTCACACGTCTAAGTGCAGATGCTATAGAAACGAGCCAGATTCTGCTTTGCAGTCTTGCCACAAAAAAACCTAACTGTAGCTCTTGGAATTTACCAAACACCTGCTTCATATAAACATGGCAGGGACTGAGACAATACAGACAGGACTTGTTTCCCATAAGTAGCAGCTGTGCAGCACTATAGCATGTAAATCACCAACAAAACAGAACTCAGTTGGGGCTGAGACTGAGTCCACGCCAAAGACATTTATGTACAGCTTGTTCAGCTTCCATGGGGAATGCCAGCACACAGAATTTGTGCTTTTATTTGAAAGGAGCTGCCCAAGAGCCATAGGGTGGTCTCACAAAGCAGTGGAATTCTGAAATGTTCAGGGAGATGGCCCCCTTTTAGGCTGTGCTCCTATAATCACACCTCTCCTGGAACTAGTGGACAATTAAAACATGAAGAATTTAACAGCTGGGAGCAGGATTGTAACCCAGGATTTACAGCCTCTGGGACAAGATGTGTTCCTGCCACACCTATCCCTTCCTGTCTTCTTTTTAAGCTTGTCCCAATGCCCTTTTCTAATACTTGCCATTATAACACTCTCTCAAACACCTTGTTAGCCTCATTTTTAAAATCTGATCCCTTGCAACATTTTTATGCTTGTTCGCCTCCCTCTATTTTATCTCTTCCATTCCCCATCTTTTTAGCTTTGTTTTCTCCCCCATCTTTCCACTTTTTGTCGCTTCTCCTTCAGTGCCCCATATTTTTTCTTTAGCTGGTTTCCCCTGACATGATCTCCAGCCCTATTTTTTTTTTTTTTTTTGGTAAAGCTGGTTTCTGTCTTCCCACTTTTTTTTCAAAGCTGGTCTTTCTGATTTTCCTTCTTTCCCCCTTTATCATGTGGTGTAAAGGGTCTTCTGGCTTGCCTCTGGCTGAATTTGCCATCCTGCTGGTTGCCTGCTGCTGCCACTACCTCTGCACCAAAATACTGAAATGCTGTCTCTTTCTGCCTTTGCACAGCACAGAGAGAGCATCTCAAGGTGGCATTGGCAATTCTGTGCCCCTCCCCCACTAAACAAAGGCCCAAGGACAATGATAACATGTCCTCTCCTGGCAGAATTCCTGGCTGATTCAGAACAGGATATGAAAAGTCATCATATACGGGTTAGTTTTAGATGTCTGACACTATTCTGTTGGTGTCCAGAGGCTGGTGCCGGAATGGGAGAAGCTGTTGTGTTCACCAGAATGAATGGACCTTTCACTAGCATGACAAAATTTGCCCCCTGTAGTGTCTATTCAGAGCACCACCAGCTAAGTTTCAAATAAATCTCAGGGGGATCAAAAGTACTGGGAAGTCCCCCGCCTTCATATTGGTATCTTTATTTTCCATTTGCATCCAGGAGCAAAGTGCTGGAGAGTGAGCGAGAGCGAGCAGTGGTTACTGCCAGTGAATTAGAAGTTTGACATTTATTGTAGTCTGTTTCAGTGGAGTCATCCTGCTCACAAATTACCTACAGGCTGAGTCTGAACAGCAACCAAACATTTTGATTGAAAATATTAAATTAGAGCTAGATATTGGCCTAGATTTGCTTTTTTATGCCAAAAAATATAGCCAGTATTGACAAAGATTCTTCAGTCAGAGAACTGCATTAAAAGGGGTCAAACTCACAAAGGTTCCCTCAGCCAATGCAGGAAACATTCACGTTCTGCATTTTTATGGCTATCCCTTTTCTTTATCACAATAACTTGTCACTGCTCCTTTCATATTGTTGATAACACTGGGCCTGGGCCTGGGCCTGAAAGATGCTGAGCACCTCCCAAAAGATGCTGAGTGCACTCAACTCCTACTGGAAACTCCAGTGCAAGGTGAGAGCATAGCATCTTTTGGGATTAGATCATACATAGATTCACAGATTTTAAGGGACCCATATGGTCATCAGTTTGAGGTCCTGCAAAACACAAGCCAGAGAATTTCACCAAGTGAGTCCTGCATCAAACTCATAACTTCTGGCTGAGCTAAAACATCTCTGTTAGAAAGACAGCCAGTCTCAATTTGAAGACCCCAAGAAATAAAGAATCCACTATCTCCTTAGGTAAATTGTTCCAGTGATAAATTGTAAAAAAATCGGCGCTTTATTTCTAGGCTGAATTTATCTAGATTCAGCTTCCAGTCACTGGATCTCCACTGTCTGCAGTTATATCCTTTTGTCTGCTAGACTAAAGAGTCCTTCCGTCTCTCACTGTAAGGCAGGTTTTCAAACCGTCCTTGAATCATTCTTGTAGCTCTTTTCTGACCTCTTTCCAACTTGCTAACATTCATAGGCAGCGGGTATAATAGGCTAAGCCTCCCCTGCAGCCACCGACCTGCCACCTTTGAGAGCACGAACACTTGGACTGTGGTGGCCTCACCTGTGGTCCGTCCCCGAGGTCCCTTCCCGCTTTCCCCCCGTAGTCCCATCCATGCTCCATCTCTTCCCTCCCCTGCTCCGCCCCTCTGCCAAGGCCCCTGCTGCTCCTTGCTGAGTCCCTCCCTGTCTCCACTTCCCCTGTGGCCCCTCACTCACTGCTCGCTGAGTCTTGACTACCTCCTCTCCTCCACCTCCCCTGAGGTCCCCACTGCCCACTGCTTGCTGACTTCCTCCACGCCCCCTCTCTCATGACCCCCACACTGCTCAGGGGAGGGGGGGATGGAGGGACTCAGTGAGGGTCATGGGGGAGGGGGTGGAGGAACTAAGTGAGTGGTGGAGGTCTCAGGGGAGGGGGTGGAGGGACTCAGGGAGCAGCAGGCAGTCGGGCCTCAGGGGAGGGGGCAGAGGGACTCAGCGAGCGGTGGGTGGGGGGAGTCATGGGGGAGGAGGAGAGGAAGGACTTGGTGAGCAGCAGGTGGGGGGCTTTCGGGGAGGGGGTGGAGGA